CCACATCATTCCAACACCTTCATATATGAATTTCTGGTGCCTAAAGGCATATGGTCAAATCCAGTTAAATGGAGATCTCATAACAGTAGTATATGGCCAGGAACCCACCTGGGTTCATATTTAGAATCTTGCCTTATCAGCACCCCTTCCCCACCTCAAAAAAAAAAAAAGAATAAGATTGATTACACTGATAACTAATGCAGTTATCTACAGAGTTGTGAAATCAGCAGAGATTGCCTCCAGCATCTCAGCTCCCATAAAGGCCACCCAGGAGGACCACTATCCCCATCAGCACCGTGATACTTTTCCCCAGCCCTGAAATTTGAAAGGGAAAGTGTGAGAAAGTAACTGTCCAAAGTGAGTCATCTATGTCCTCAACTCCTTATAAACACAAGACTTGAGCCCTACCATGATTGTACTCTTGAGGACATCTGGGCCGCAGCTCTGAGTCCTCTCAGTTATGGGCTCAGGCCAGGTTTGTTCCAAAGCAATGAGAGAAGCAAGGACAGAATTCCACAGGGCTTTTCCTATTTTATCCTTCCACAACAGTTTCTAGCTCCCTCCGCCCCAAGTCAAAGACTTTATCCAATATACATCTGCCAGTTAAAACAGCCACCCATCCCGCCGCACAGCTTCTGTTTCTCGGCTCCTCCAGGATTGTCCTCCGTGGAGGGAGCCAGCAGTGGGGCTGGCTCTGAATCCTGGTAGGAACCTGCAGCCAACCCGTCTCTATGCCCCCCTTTCTCCAGCTGCTTTTCTTCCTCCAAAATTGTGTTGCTGTCGTCTCCTCACCCACTCATCCCTTTACTGACACTGCCTTCATCGTATTTACTTTTCAACCTTCTCCGTAGTGGCTTCTGCATCCAACACTCATTGAGAAACTGCTGTAATCAGTATCAACACAGACTCCAGCTGTGTAGCTAAATCCATTTTGTATCTTCATCTTTAACACAACTGATCAGTCCCACCTTGCACTTTCTCCTGTCTTCTGTGACACCATCACACTGATCTGCTTTTCTTCCTGCTTCACAAACTTATTCCTTTCAGGCTCATGCGCTTGCTTTCTTCACTGCCACCCACCTACTAAATGTTAGAAGGCCCTAAGCACTCAGCTAGCCATAGAGCACAGATAGTGAAGGAGGCCCTGCCAATACACTCACTTCATAGCAACCAGTGTGATCTTTTAAAAACACAATTTGAATACTATTGCCACTTATTTAAATTCCTTCAATGGTTTCCCATTGCACTTGGAATAAAATCTAATCATGTGGCTATGGCTTATAAAATTTTGCATAGTCTCATCACTCTCCCCACCTATTCACTAAGCTCCAGCACTTTCTAGACTAAGGGCTTTCTGTTTTGTGCACTGCTATAATTCCCAGAACTTACAACAGTGCCTGGCAAATGATAGGCACTTGTGGTAGGCTGAATAATGACCCCCAAAAGATGTTCATGTTCTAATCCCTGGAACCTGTGAATGTTACCTTATATGGTAAAAGGGACTCTGAAGATGTGATTGAGTTATGGATCTTGAGAAGGGGGGGGTATATTAGTCCATTTTGTGTGGCTATAACAGAATACTGGAGACTGGGTAATTTATAATGAATCAGCTGGCTCATGTTTCTAGGGCACAGGCCTCAGACTGCTTCTAGGAGAATTCTCTCACCCTGCGGAAGGGCATTAATCTATTCATGAGGAATCCACCCCCATGACACAAAGACCTCCCACTAGGTCCCACCTCCCAACACTTCCATATTGGGAATCAAATTTCCACATGAATTTTGGAGGGCCATTTATATCCAAACTGTCTCAGGGGGTTATCCTGACTTACCTGGGTGAGCCCTAAATGTAATCCCAAGGATTAGTACAAAGGGTCTTCAAAAAGCTCATGGAAAGATTCCTATTATCTTTTAATTCTGTTTTTTCCACAAACCTGTTGAAGTACCCTCATAAGAAAAGAAGGCAAAAAGGTCAGAAGAAGAAGGTGATGTGATGACAGAAAAAGGGGAGTAAAGGGTGACGTGAAGTGGAACCATAACCAAGGAATGCAGCTGTCTCTAGAATCCCGAAAAGGCAAGGAAATAGATTCTCCCCTACAGACTGCAAAAGTAACCAACTCTGCCAACACCTTGGTTTTAGTCCACAAGACTCATTTTGGACTTCTGACCTCAAAAATTACAAAAAAATAAAAGCGTGTTGTTTTGAATTTGCAGTAATTTGTTATAATAGCAAAAGAAAACTAATACAGCACTCAACAGAGAATGGTTGGAAAATTGAATAAATATAAAGTAGCACCACATGTATATGTATGTTCAAATGCAATACGTCTGAGCCATCCCTCCCCAAAGCAAAAATTTAGTCCTAATCGAAGTGTTCCTAGTTCTTTTGGGGAGTTCCCAGCAGATGTTGTATATTCCCACATTAGTGTATAGTCATGATGAGGAAAATGGTGCAGACCTGGCCAACTACAGTTTGTTTATTTTCCATTTATGACTCTGATCAGTGTCTCAAACCCAGTTCAGTGGGTAGAATGAGACAGGTGCCATCCTATTCCCTTTAGTTTTCTGCGTTCTCTTTTTACACTCTGTCCCCAACTCCATCTCCTCTGTTCTCTAGTTACAAAATAAAAGCCCCAGCATGTCTACAGATGCAAACACACACTGCTGGGAAATTTTGGTGAGGTCACTGCCAGCCTCAGATAGCCAAAAATATCCTGTTACACACACACACACACACACACACAGAATGAGACAGACGGACAGGAACACATAAAAATGTTAATAATTGTTTCATCTGACTTATGAAATTTAGATTTTCTTTTTGCTTTACTGTGTTTGTAATTTTCCCACAATGAGTATATATTATTTGTAAAATAAGTAAATAAAACTTTAAAACAAAGTATTTCAAACAGTTATAACCCAATTTTAGAATGACTATGGAGTTGTTGCCAAGAGCTGGACAGAAACATGAGAGGAATGTGGATTCCAACCACCGTGCCACAGAGGCTGAACACAACCAGGGTGATGGGAATTAGCTGCTATGATAGTTAATTTTAGGTGTCAACAGGATTAACAAATACCTAAAGAACTGGTAAAGCATTACTTCTGGGTGTGTCTGTGAGGGTGTTTCCAGAGGAGACTGGCCTATGAGTCAGTGGACTAAGTAGGGAAGATATGCCCGCAGTGTGGGCTGGCACCATCCAATTGGCTGGGGGCCCAAATTTTTTTTTAAAAAGGAGAGAAAAAAATTTCCTTTCTCTCTCTCTCCTGGAGCCTGGAGCTAAGACACTCTCCTTCCACTGCCCTTGGACATCAGAACTCTGGGTTCTCTGGCCTTGGGACTCTAGGACTTAACACCAGCAGCCCTCTGGGTTCTCAGGCATTTGGCCTCAAAATAAGAATTGTACTATCAGCTTCCCTGGTTCTGAGACTTTAAGACTTGGATTGAGCCATGCTACTGGCGTTCCAGTGTCTCCAGCTTGCAGATGGGCTGTCATGGGACTTTGCCATCTCAATAATCACATGAGCCAATTCCCCTAATAAATCCTCTCTCATCCATCCATCCATCCATCCATCTATCTATCTATCTATCATCTATCTATCTATCTATCTATCTATCTATCTATCTATCTATCCATATCTGTATCCTATTGCTTTTCTCCTCTGGAGAACCCTAATGCAGCTTCTAAATCAAATTAGGCAACTAAAATTGCTGTTAAGAGGCATGGACATTGGAGTCCCCAGTGGACAGAGTGGCATTGCAACTACAACAGGGCATGTAGCACACCTGCAAGAGATGCTGTCCTTGACTATGCTCTTCTCCCAAAACATCAGGTGAGTGGAATGGGGCACAGGGGGTCTGACCATTCCTAGATTCAGAATGTTAACTCTGGCTAGTGAAAGTTTTACCATAATAAAAATAGATTAGAATGTCTACTTTTGGACTTACCCAGGGTGGTCTCTGCTTTTTGTTTTTTGGGTTTTTTTCTCTCTTTTGTCAAGTGGGAAGAATCACAAGATCAGCTGATGGTTAGAGGGCACAGAAGACCATAACACCATTTCCAGTGTCCTCTCACCTTTAGGGAAATAAGCAATTGAAGATACTTTTTAATGTGGACAACAAAGGAAACCAAAGGTATTCAGGCAAGTTGTAGCCACTTCTTAGCACACAGTCTGTGTATGCTTTTGATGAAATGTTTATGGTATTTTGGTAAAGTAACAGTTTTAATAAAGTAAAGATTAAAAGTTTTCTGTACTTATGAGGAAAAAAAGTTTCTGCCTATAACTAGTGACAAATGAAGCAACAGAATTCACTTATTCAATGAGAGTGAAATTTGCAGGAAATTTGTGTAGTTAATACTACTACAAATTTGTTTCAGTTCCCAAAGTGTCAGAGTCAGCTTCCCAAAGAGGTGAGTCAATGTGTGATACCTTAGAGAACCACTGGAAAACAGTCAATCAAGGTCAAGAGTTCAGAGGCCTGCACCAGCCAGCCAACAACAACAACAAAAAAAACCAAACACACTCCATCTCTTTGAACATGGAAAATTCCACTAAGCCTGTATTAGGCTGTTTCCATTGCTTATAACAAAATACTTGGAACTGGGCCATTTATAAAGAAAATGAAATTTAGTGCTTACAATTTCTGAAACTAGCAAGTCCAAAGTTCATATCGCAATGGCAACAGTGACCCAGGGGTCTCACATTGCAAGATGGTGGAAGCAGAGAGAAAGACAGACAGACTCTGCTCCTCTTTTAAAGCCCTCAGAACTACACCCATAACCATTGTTTTTATTCCATTCACTTCTGCACAGTCCTACAATCCAATCACCTCTTCAAGGCTCCAACTTTCAATTACCATAATAAGATCTCCCACCCTTTTAACAGTCACAGTGGGGGCTAAATTTCTCACATGCAAAACTTGAGAGACAATTCAAGCCTCAGTGAGTTTTGGGGTAACATAATTTAATCCACTACAAAGCCGTTTTTACTTTTTTTTTTCTCCATTAAAAGAAATGAATGTGAATATTTTCCCCTAACATCCAAGGAGATGGGATGAGTAAAAACCACATAGGTAAATGGAAGCTATTGTCAGTTCTAATTTTATGTTGGCTGGTGGTTTTAACGTGTTTATATATTATTGTTGCAGTTATTATGATTATTAATAGATAAAAGCCCTTACATAGACACTTGGTAAGAGCATATTGTGAATCAATAATTATAATTAATCTCTTTGGGTGCCATTATAAACAAAATTTCAACAAATTTAGTTTAAAGATCTAATTGGCTTTTATTAGTAATTCATAAATCAGGCAGCATCTCTTCTAGAAATAGAGGAAATCTCTATTGGGCATGGCAGAACAGTTGGTTTTTGTAAGGTAGCTTGAGCCAAAACAAGGAAACAGAATAACACAAAAATAAAAAAAGAGGATTGGTTAACATCAGGTTACTTTCCTTGTAAGGGTTAAAGCAGAGATGACTTCCTTATTATGCTGGCTCAGGATGAGTTGGTGGCTGTAAATCTCTTCTTTTTAGGAAAAACTGGTCTGTTTGGGGATTTTCTTCCTTCCTTAAAGTTCCAGTTTGATTATATTGTACTTAGCACAAGTGGCTCCATTTTGGTTTGGTCTCTTGGGTCCTAATGCAGGAGCTCAGTCCAAAACAATGACCTCCTATAAATGTTATTTAACAATTTCTCCATTTTTGCCAGGCTCTCAGCTAGGTGAGAAAAACTTAGGGCATCAGCACTATTCTCAGTCACTGTCATTCTGGGTTTTCATTCTCAACACATTATTCATAAGTCATAGTGTCCTCATTATCAAGCATTTTTTTGAGTTTTTGTTGTCCCAGCCAGAGGGAGACCATTTGGCATTTGGCAGATGGCTGCATGCTGGAATTTAAGATTTCTGAGAGAATACAGCGCACCGGGAGACTACTATTATGATTATGCCATCTTGGGCCTGACCCATCCAGAGAACCTACAGACTATAACAAGTACATATTGATAACCCACGCTCGGTGGAAGTTGGATAAAGTCTGACTGTAGATGTTCAAATGGGCCTGATGACTGGAGGTTATTCTAGGGGGAACAGAAAAAGACTTTCCTGGATTATAAGGTTGGCAGGTTAAGCATTGATTACAAATAGCTTTAGCAACTTTATAACAGTTTCCTTGCCAATAAGTATTGATTGTTTGTACCATCCTATCAGTACCATTATGGGTAAAAGAATGTAAAGAGCATAACAAAGTTCCCTTAAGGGAGTCTGGGAGCAGCAAGCAGTCATTTTAGTTTTCTCACAACTCAGAAGGGGAATAAAAATAGCATCCTTCTCATTCCCAGTATTTTTTTTTTTCGTCCTTAGGAGCATTTTGTTGTTCACAGGCAATAGTATTGGGGTATAAAGAGGCAAACTCAGGTAGCAAGGAGCATGTCTTATTGTTTTTGTTTCTAGCTGATAGATTTAGATAACAGGACTTACAGAGTTGAATAACACTTTCGGCATGAAAGTCAGCTAGAGCATTTCCCTGGTATTAAGGCTCAGTTTTCTGTATGAACCTCTGTTTTTAATAGTAGCAAAATATCTTTAGGTAGCAGTATAGCAGTAAGGAGAACATCAACTTGTGTGACTTTTTTTTTTTTTTTTGGCGTGTCTGCAGAAGTGAGGATATCTTTTTGTTTCCAAAGCATTCAAAATTATAAGCCACCCCAAAAGCATAGCAATTGTCAGTCAAACCGGGTTTTAGATAAAATGCAGGTATGAGCAAGTGCATAAACCTTTGCTTGTTGAGCAGACTTGAGGTGGGGCAATTTGCCACTTTCAATAAGCTCATATTGGGTGGTGACCGCATATCCAACACGAAAGTTTCCTGCCTGATCTTTAGAATAAAATTCAGCCAGAAAAAAGATCAGAACAGGATTTTGTAAAGGAATGACCTGCAAATCAGGATGGGGAATGACTTATTAAGAGGTCACCATTTTATACTCCTGTGGTTCACCTTCATTAGATAAGGTCAACAAGGATTGAGAGCACTACAGTTTTTCAGATGAAGATTAGAAACCAAGAGTAAAAGGATTACATTAGAAGCTAGTCTGCTTACAAAAAGATTTTGGGTAAGCTCAGAATTGAGAAAATTTTCTACTGCATATGGTATGTAGAGATAATTATAGTTACTTAAGATCAGATCTGCAGAAGATACAACCAGTTTTGCACTGCAAGTACAGCTTTAAGGCAATTTGGGTACACTCTGGCAACTGAGTCTAACTGAACACTGTAATAAGTGGTGGCCCAAGCTTACCACCATGTTCCTGTGTGAATATTCCCATGGCCTGGTTATTCTTTTTATGTACAAACAGGGTGAAAGATTTTGAGTAATTGGGCTATCCTAAAGCAGGAAGTTTGGTAATGCCCTTTTTAATTCTACAAAGGTTGTCTCATGTTTTCCTTCCCAAGGAAGGTGTTCAGAAATTAAGTTTTTGGTGAGTTCATAAAGTGTGGGTGCTAAGAGGGAAAAATTAAAGATTCATAGATGGCAATACTCAACTAAACCTAAAAACATGAGAAGATGTATCCTAGTTACAGGCCTAGAGAAATATTGGATAAGCCTAACTCCATAAGGAAACAGTGGATACCTGCAGCACTTATATCTTGTTCTAAATAGTGATAACTGTAATTTGTCTCCAGAGACCTTATATCCTTTCTCTGCTGACTGTTATAACAGATAGATGGAATCTCGTTGGGATGCCTCCTCAGCAGGCAAACAAAGTAAGAGGTCATTCACATACTGCAGGAAGGTCAAGCCTCTAAGAAACTGGCGGGTGCTCAAGTCTCAGTTGAGCACTTGAGAGAAATAGGTCGGGGCTTCAGAGAACCCCTGAGGCAAGGATTATATACTGTTATATATCATCCATGTATTCTGTTGATTAATCCAGGGGAAAGCAAACAGGTATTGACTGTCAGGGTCAACTGGAATGCTAAAGAAAGCTGATTATAAGTCTACCATTGCAAAACATTTAGAACCTGGGGAAATCCATGACAAAGAGTACTAGGGTTTGGAACCACTCGGAAATGGGGAATAACTATCCTGTTAATGGCTCCTAGATCCTGAACAAATTGCCATCCTCACCTGTTAGGTTTTTGTACAGGTTAAGTTTGGGGTATTACAAATATTGGTTCATGGCAAAATTAATCCCTGAGCAATTAGGTCTTCTATTATTCGCTCAAAGCTTTGTATGGCCTCAAGCTTTAATTGATATTGAAGTAATTTGGGAAGAGGATTAGTGAGGAGTATTTGATTTTTTCTTTCTTTTTTTTTTTTTTTTTTGGCAGTTGGCCAGTACAGGGATCAAACTGTGGACCCTTGGTGTTATCAGCATGACACCCTAGCCAACTGAGCTAACCAGCCAGATAAATTTTAATAGGCTCTGCACTTTTGATTCTTCGGATATCAGTATCGGACATGGCCCATAAACCGGTGGGTTCCTCAGTTAAGTCAGGGATGTTTTGTGGAATGTCCTCTTCCTCTGTATCTAGGACAGATTGTAAAGTGCACAGGAAATTTGGCTCAAGTGGGTCAGGAAATTCCAAAGTTAAGTCTCCAGTAGGGGGGAAATCATATTACGCCTTCTAACTTAGGCAGAAGGTCTGTACCCAATTACTTGACTGAAGTCGTGTCACACAGCAAAAAGAAATGTTTTTCAGTAAAAAGTCCTAGAGTCACTTGTATAGGCTGAGAAATGAATTCTTTTTGAACTTGATTAGATAGCCCCACAACTTAAATTTCCTTTTAACTCCAAAGGAGTGGTTGTCCTACAAGAGTGAGGTTTAAAGTAGGAAGAGTGGCTCCCGTGCCTACCAGAATTGGGTGAAAACTCTAATTGATGTTTATCTTTGTCTCCCCTTGACTATTTAAATAAATAACTTGTAGGAGCTTACTACAGTTTCCCAGAGGCCCATCAGTCCTGGTGGGTAACATGAAGATTATT